GGTGGCCGTGTGTAGAGCGAGCAACCCGGCGTACCGGCGGTGCGCTTGGGTTTGCCACCCCGGCGTGGCGGCGATCGAGCGCAAGGACACGTCGGCTGACGAGTTCATGAAGATTCATGCTGCCTACTCCACGCTATCGGACCCCGAAAAGCGCGCCGATTACGACCGGAAGTTTATGCGCCGGAGCCGACCGTTGTCAACGGCGTCGGGATATTCCGGGTACTACACTCGCCGGAACTGGGAGACCGACCAGTGCTGGTAGCGAGTTGACTCACCGATTCCGAAATTGAAGGACTTCAATCCGCGAGATTATTGGTAATTTTGTAAATATACGATGAAGCATAGCATAGAGTTCAATCGGAGCCGTTGAATATTTTGATCATGATGGTCTCGCTGTGGCTGGAGATGTTTGCGATGATCCCTCTGTCTGTCTGTCTGTCTGTCGGACACTACAACAAGAAGTAGCGCCAAAGTTCCAAACCTCCAAAGTCGAAGCGTTGAAAATCTCATTTTATGATAGTATTTACTATAATTACTTGGGGCAACATTTTAATTTTAAATTTTGTAAAGTCCTGTTTTCTTTTTTGGGATTATTAGGACATAAGTACAGTACATACAGTGATTTACACATAGAGATTGGAGCTCAGTATTTTTATGGGTATCAATTTGAATGAATATTATTATTCTCGTCAGAAATTTGGACAACATTTATGCATATATGCTTGCTATTTCATATTTGTTTACTTGTAAATTGAGTAATGCTGCAAATCCAGAATCTTATGAATGGTAGAAGGGTGGAAGAGGAAGGGCGTTGGTGATGGAAGAAAAAAAGAAAGAGAGGCCGCTGGCAGTTGTCACATTTATTTGTAGGCCATACAAGTTGCTACCAATTACTTGGTGCCATGTCTTTATTTTTCAACGAAGGCTGGTTGGGGTTGATTGTAGGCCTGAGCACGGATCAGTTTGGAACGATAAAAGGTTCTTCCGTTAACTAAACAAAAGATTTCGGTAGACTTCGGATCGGTTAACTTAATATTCGGTTCGGATTGGTTCAGTACGCCAGTAATACCGTAATAAAAACATACTAATAAAAATACAATTTATAATACTTTCACATAACATAAGTTCTTGAATAAATACACCAAATTATCCTTGTAAAATATAAAAATTCAATAGTCTAATTCATCCAAGTATGAAATCAAATAACTTAGTCACTATATCATTCAATATATACTCAAGATGTAATGGGAGCCACTTGTGTTTGTTGTTTGAACATTTGAGTGTTATTTTTACTTAATTCTCTACATTTATGTAAATGATTTTGACATTTGTTCCGCACTGGGTTCTTTAGTTTTTCATGCTAAATCCAACCATATAAAAAAAAATAAAATTTGGATCAACGGTTGGAAAGTTACAGGTAAAAAAGGGAACAAAGGTCGAAATTCAAAAACATAGGAAATTTATAAGTTCATCTCTGACCAAAAAGTGTTATAGTACCTAAGTGATAAAGAAATGATATAATGGTGATAAAACAGTGATAGAATGGTGATAAAGAAGTGATACAACATAAAGGAGTGATACAAAGTGCTGATTGTATTTATTTTTAATTTCTTGTTTTCTATTTAAATAATATAATAAGTATAAATATCGGATCGGTACGGGTTTCCGTCGGGTTAGAAATATTGTTCCGTTAACCAAACAAAATATCTCGGTATAGATTGGATCAGAATAATTAAAATTAAAAAATAATTCTTTAACCAAACCAAATCAAACCATCGGTACGGTACAGTCGGTACGCGAATAATTTGAATGAGATGCCCACCCCTAATTCATTGCATTGCATATTGTGAGATATGACGACGATTCAGAGTGGCGACAACTCGACTTATCGTAGAAAAATGTAGAATAGTGGTGGCTGTTTTTGTCTGTTCTCCTTGTATTTTGTAGAAGTCGGCCATTACAAGTTAGAAGCCATAGAAAGATAAGAAAGCGGGATCTCGCATCCAATTATGGCGCACCGCTCGTAATTGCAAAGCTGCCTAAGTGCCCAAACTTTAGGAACTACTTTTTTTTATGTCGTCTCCATCAAACTCTCTAGTGGGGAAGAGCTTTAGGGTTTTCAATCTCGATCACATTCTAATTCTTTTTTCTCTTTCAAGAGAAATATTTAATTCTAACTTAACTTATATTCTTAGATATAAGAAATGTCTATACTTTAAAAGTCAAAATTATTGTGTATTAGTATAGTTTGGACTTTCATAAATGTGAGTACGGAATTTACTGTTTATGATGGATTTCCCGATAAATATAACATGGTGGGACAACATTATTAATCATAATTCCTTCAAGAAATTTGATATATTTTCGAGTTTTACCAAGTCAAATTATTACTTTTTTGTTTCTGTTTTCCATGATAACTTAGTATGATGGAGCCTGTAGAAAAAAGAGATTAGAAACACCTAGACCAACAGTGAGACTTTGGAAGGAAGGCAGAACTTCATGCCATGAAACCTGGGATGACACATGATTACCGCCTTACTTATAATTATTCAAGTGATTAATGACTAGGCGGCAGGAGTAGCCGCAGCTAATTTTATAAACAATTCAGCTTAACAAAGTAAGCAAATGGAGGCCCTACGTATGTATGTAGAGGGCTGTACGAGGCCATACGTATATACAATCAGTAATATATATATATATATATATTTTTTTCATTATTAAATATCATGTGGTTTAAAAAAAAAGAAAAAGTAATTCATGTAGTCAAATAGCCACAGCCCATCCCAAATTTTAAACAAGCTCACCCAATACCTATTTTTGTCTTTTTAACTAGTTTATATTTTATATACTAGATGCATTTTGAGGGATATACACCTTGTTATGTCTCCTCTACTAGACATATCATTTTTTGTAAGGTAAATCCATCTCAGTCCATTTTAAAATCCTGAATCCGTCCCCTTAAAAATATAAGTTTATTATAATTAGGAATATGCTTCCTCCTCACTAATTCTTCAACTCACCTTGTATAATTATTATAAAATTCTGAATACAACAAAGCCAGAACTGTAGACTTGTTCCAATTATTTATTTATATATTTTCTCTTAAATACCGCCGACTCAAATCACATTCTGACGAGTGACTTGTTAACGATTGTGCCCAATATTCTTATAGACTAAGACTAAGTAAACAAGCATTTAAATCGATCAAAATATTTAGGCTCGTCAAAAACGTTGGTCTGCATGGCGTGCATTACTTTTATTAATCCTGACTAATCTTAAACTAATACCCTACAAATTGGAATTTGAATTCAATTTCTCTTTGAAGTGCAAGAAGGTTTCAGTTTCACCATATATATAAATCTGTGAGTGATGCTGGGTCCAAGATGGATGTCTCCGGCCTCTTCAGGTTCTCTTACAATTAAGGTATGACTTTGATTTGATTTTCATAAAATACTTATTCTTGTATTATAGTTAGAGGAACTTACAACATCGTTTCGCTGATTTATTTACGATAATCGTAACTTATTAAGGTCTAAGTACACCAAAGTAGACAGATTTACATATAAAAAATCAGTACGGCTCTTATCAATGATCCAATTTCTATAGATTCCTTTCAAATCCAATCCAAGACAAAAATACTCATAAAGGCAGATTTATTAGTTCATTGCTATTTTCATGTGTAACATTCTTTAAATATATGAATGATCTCATCATCCTGGTAATTAAAGATTATCTCTCTAGTAAGACTCTTAGAATAAATTTCACATATATTCTAATTGGGATACCTGCGGGGCGGAGCCATGATTCAATGTTTGAGGAACTAAAATATGAAACGTTGAGTTAAATTAAATCGTTTTGGTCTATTAGAATGAAAATTTGGCAAGCCTTTATTAATGGTGGAGAGCCGTAAGCTGAAAAAGATTTTCTTCTATGCAGACGTCCGGACGTTATTATTGTTTACTAATGACATCAGCAATGTAATAACGTCCCAACATCTTCATTAGAGAAGAGCTGTAAGCTGAATTATATCAATTTTTCCTTATATCTCCTTCCACTAAATAGATAAAATGGATGGAAAAAAAAGGGACCCGTGGATATCTATCTTGTAGTCGTAGAAGAATAGAAGAAGATAAGAAATTCCAATCAGAAGAGGGAAGAATCTAAGAGGGTGCCCTAATTTGACTTCTAAAAATAAAATTCCATCGTATTTTAAGAACGACTTAGATCACTAGGAGATAATGGTGGTGGACCGGAAGCTATGATGGAGATGGCATGGATGTAAACTAGTCTAGCTTTTGATTACGGGGACAATTGTTCAAAGAGTTCCCTACCATTTCCATTACAAAACCATAATTTTCTGCATATACTTACAGAACAATCGCCATCGCTAATAATAATATGTTCCAGCCTTGCTGATGTAGACTGCGCTTGACAAATTATATACATAAGATTAGAATAAAGTACTTTTCATTTTTTATTCTTTCCTTCTAACTAAGTTTCTGGAAGATAATTAGCTTAATTACAAATTCTTAACCCATTGTGAGAAAAACGAAAGGTGAAGAAGGGAGATGCTATAATATTACGGAATGTTTACTAATCCGTAATTAAATGAGGAGAGTTAAAATCTGAATTTCTATTGAAGTTGTTTACTAAAACCATATGGAATCGGGGTATGAGTGATACTAATTCCTTATAAGTTGTTTACTGAATTTCCATGAATCAGAATTGAAACCAATTTGATTACTAAAATGTCCTCATTGTTGGATTAAAGTAGATGTCAAATGTAGAATTTTAAAAAGGGCCATGATTTCCCCACTCCTATTTTATCCACTTACACGCCTTTTTTATAACTAAAAAAGGAGTGTAAGTGGATAAAATAGGAGAAAAATGAGTGGGGAAATCACCACTCTTTTAAAAATTGCGTGAGGATATAATAGGTAAAAAAAATGGATTCCTAATGAGTTTGTTCTCCAAGACTTAGAATACTACCTCATACTCAAAAGTCTAATTCCTACAAAATAAGGAGTTGAATTCCTGATTTTATGTGGGTTCCACTCGCATTTTCGTTCCTCCATGTGAATTAAACACATAAGTATCCGTAATATAAATTCAACTTCTTACTTTAATTCCGATTACGAATTAATAAACATGTCATACATTAAATTAGGAGTACTGCTAAATGAACCCTAAAATTAACTGAGTATACCCTACTATCAAACTATTTATTGAATTACTAATTTACCATAATATAAAATGACCAAAAATGATATATTGAATTGCGAAACAAATATAATTTTAATAAGTACACATTACTCACCATATTCAACCCTATTAAAAAGTTTTCGTATTAATTATTGCTCGATAACGCAATGAGGAATGGCAGAGGCACAAAGAGGTGTTGTTGAATGTTCATTCAACATTCACTCGCTGGTGAAGCAAAGCAACATTCAATATGGAGATATGGTGGTGCCTCGATATTTTTGAATCTCTAAATATTCCAAATTTGGATGTGGTTGTAAAGCTTCAAGTATAATTTTATCTTCAAGTGTCCTTCACTCCAATCAAAATCTAGATTCAAATCAACAAGGTTCCCTCTAGTAATGAATTCTACTTTCTCAGCCGCTCACACATTTTGTAGGTTTCCACACCCACAAATATGAAGATACCCTTCGAGGTTCAAAATTTTCAAATCTCCCAGCTTAAAT